CGTTTAATCGACCCTTAATGGCTGATTTAGTAAGCTTGTGGTGCAACAATATTTCTCTCATATTTCGCGCACGGAGAGAGGGCGTTTCTTATTATTTATATTATTTCTAATAATTAAAATTCAAAAGCTAAAGACGTCGACTGGTGTATAATTATGATTTCTGTCAAGATTTCGAGCGTGTCTTGTGTATTATTGTTTAATTCTCATTTCTCGGAAAAGTTTTACTTAATAAAATTTATATATTTATAAATTTTATTAAATAAAATTTAATGTGTGCTTTATTTCTCAGGAGAAGGGAGTAATTTCACAAGGATTATGGAGGAATTCACAAAGTATAATCTCTATATGATGAACGTCTTTTCTCAACGATCTACATACGATATCAATAGCGAAGTAAATGCGAAAGATCGATCTCTTTGAGATAGGCTTAAATACTAATCAATAATGATGACAATAATTATCTCTTATATTTTCGTGAGTGGTGTGCGAGCTCCTCTATTTATGTGAACCGATTATAGTCTTCGTTTCTTTTCTATCCCCCCCCCTCCCCCAGAAATTCTCTCCCTTAACTCTTTCAGGGGCTGAAAAAGTCAGCGTATTTTGTGCAGGATCTCCGAAAGAGAGAAGTAGTACTAGAGCGAAACTTAGGCACTGTAGTTCACAAATTAAACCACATCGCACCAACATAGAAACGCACAAATGTCGTGGCACCTAATATATTATACTGTGACTTATATGAAGTACACAAGCTGCACCGTCGCCCCTCAAAGAATTAAGCCATTCACAATGGAAATCTTTGACGTTTAAACATCGTACCGTCTGTCAGAATAATTAGCTGAAAGGACAAATACGTACGAATCGCTTTTCGACGAAAATAAGCCTTTTTAAACGCAAAAGTCATTATTGACTTTCTTCGCGCTGCTCTTACGTACGTTTTAGTCACATAATCTGCATCATAGAGCATAACTTCCGCTTACGTTCGTGAAAGCTTTTCGAGTATATACCATTCATTCAGAGTACTCGGCGAGTATGAAACAAAATATTCTCTATACACTATCGCTCGTATTGGCTTCGAACACGGGTCTCCTTCCTCACTGACTCCTCGTACAACATTGTTCTTTAAATATGCGCCTCTCCGTGTGCCAACTGCTCGCGATGAAGATACGACAAAGGTACACGATATCGTCGGCGTGTTCATTCAAAGTGAACGAATATTCAAAAAGTGTCGATAAAGGGATTCGTAAAATTTCAAAAACAATTTTGTACTCTGCGGCACGCAACGGGAAACGACGATGGAGATCTTGCGTTTGCAAATGTCCCTTTTGAAGAGACGGATCTCTCGTTAATTGCGCGCTCTTGAATGCGAGGAAGCATTCGCGATTTGAATGAAGCGTTTCGAGAACAAGAGGATCTTTCGCGAGACTGAAACGTCGTTCGATTTGCTTTCGTTAAGCAAATAACGCCGCGAAATTATATCCTGCTCTTCGTCGAGCCTCTTTTGAAATTTCTGCAGTTAAACTTCGACCGCGAAAAATGCGACCACGACGATTTCGCTCGTTTCACTTGCGATAATTATGTCACATGTCGTGTGCATTGATGAACAAATCTAAGAGCTCCGCTCGTACTATCTTTTACGATCGTGAAATTATTTCAATAAAATACGGAAAAACGAAGCCGTTTGCTTCGACGGCCAGCTAATTTGATACAATGAATTCTGATAAAATAAATTAACGCCTCGTAAGATATACGTATATCGGAGAGCGTAAACCAAACACGATAAACTTAGAGGCTAATCTCATCCGCTAAATATCTGTGTGACTTATAAAAATATTTAAGTATTTACTTAAACGTTAACATACGAATAGAAGGAGATTCGCCGCCAACGCCGATTCAAGTTTTCACAAAGTATATCACAGCGATCCGACATATCCGTAATGAATGAAATAAGACAAATTTCGGGAAATATATCGAACAATTTAAATCCCCGCGAGTGAACCGAATTGTCTACAATGCTCTTGATAATGCACAATTGGGCGAGGGTACATATACGGTACATATAACGTTATACATATAAAAGTAGAAAATTTAGTGGCAGTATATAGAGATCGTGTAAGGTGAGAAACGCGGTGAAGGGAAATGCGTATGCGCTAACATTTTTGTTGTTTTGTGCTTCGTTTACGCCGAGATTGGCGAAAAGCTGTCTGATTGACAAAATATTTGTCAATCATCCAGATGTCATTAATCCGTCTTTCTCCCTGTTGTCTCTATTGATCAATGCTAACAACGTAAAAAAAAAAAAGAACAGAAGAAATACAACATACACAAAACAGGAGACAAAAAAACAGTTTTGCGATTCGGCACGATCATATTTAGCTCCACTTTACGCGAAAGCTCCTCTTTGAGGATGTTAGATCGACCTGATTGTATCACTGAAGTGCCTCTTCAGATGTCGATAAAGAGTTTCTCAACGAGATATATCTTCAACTTCCAACTTGAATTCTTGGAACTGTTTAACAATTATCAACGACTTGGATATTCATCCGAAGATTTCTTCGTGCAACAAGCGTGTCAGACACGCTGTATATGTTCGTTTATTCCAGCTGATCCGTCATTTTGCAATTTTTCCGTCCGTCGACCTTCCCAATCGATCTTCCACTCTTTTTCTCTCTCTTTCTCTCTCTCTCTCTCTCTCTCTCTCTCTCTCTCTCTCTCTCTCTCTCTTTCTCTTCTCAAAAAAACCTTTTTTTTCGAGATCTGAAATCGATGTATGTGATCGAGGTCGTGGAGCATCCTGACCTGCTTGTGCTCGCTCTTTCGTTCCAACCGACGATCACTCCGGACGATTGACTATGACGGGACTCCCCGCTCGTCTACTCCAGACGCGCCTTATAGCTAGTCTTCCAGATCTCGGCCAGCGTCACGGCACTGTGGAACCTGTGGAAGATGCACAGCGGCAAGGTGACCCTCTGCACAATAGCCCAAGCGAGGAATCCGTAGAAATCAAGCTGCACCGGATTAGCGATAACCTTCTGGGTCTCGAAAGTGTAGATCACCCACATAGTCACGTTGCAAATCAGCAGGAAAGTAACCACCTGTCTACCGGGCTTGCTGCGATCGTGTTCCGGCAGGTGAACTCGCCTGCGCGACACATCAGCGATGAAGAGCATCTGAAGGACTACTTGGGCGACCGATAGCAATCCCGTCACCATCACCAGCAGATTCGGCTCATGCGTGAAGGCCGCCAGGGAACCAGCGATCACACTAAAGACGGCGTAGACGAAGAGACCAAAAGCGGAAACGCGCAGGAGAATGTCATTGAGGTCGCTTTGCTCCTCGGCTTTGAACTTGAGACTCTGCACGCGAATGAAGCCGATAATTATGGCGATGATAGATAACGCCATTAAGACGCAGTGAGACACATCAGCGAGATAAATCGCGAGCAATCCGAACTCCGGGTGATGGATCAGCACGAAGAACAGTATCAGGCATATCAGGGAACCAACCAGAAGAAGCAAACCGAAGAAGAGACCTTTGCTTGCTCCAACGCAGTCGACTCTAGTGTGACCTGATAATATCTTTTATGACAACTCGATTCTCGAACAAATAGAAAATTATGTTTTTATTTCTAACAAGATACAGAAAAATTTGATCTGATATATTTGAAATAAAAAAGATTATGATATGAAAAGAAAATTACCTGCATGAGCAAGAGCGACAGCTCTTCGCGATAGCATAGCCTCTAAACGACGTTCAAGATCAGCCTCTGCCAGATGAGGCCAACGCGGATGTCGGCCGATGTGCTTCCACATGACGTAGATCACTGCTGCTCCAATCAAACTGTACTCGATTATGAATGGAAATAGATATGGCGCCGCGTCCTGGACGATGGTTCCCATGATATTGACGCGTCCGCACGAATTGGACACCGTGCCATCCTCCGTTAGAGCTTCCGCGTAGATACCTAAATTCGGACTCCAATAATCACTGCTATTTGTCAAATTACTTACATCAAAGATCTGCGGTACCTGAAAAAGAGAGGAAGAAAGACTTTAATCTCAGCGCTCATTGCCTTAATAATATTGGTTGTGTTCAAACGAATCGAAGCAGCTGGTCTACTCGAGCGGTTGAATGTGATTGATTGGATCCATAAGTAATAATCAATCATGTTCAATCGCTGAGAACAGGCTAGCTACTTTGTCAATTTGAACTCACCCATTTATTCATAGTGATGTAATAAAATATAGTTCATACTTGGTTGTCTATGTCACTCTGTGGCGCGGTGTTCAGTAGTTCTATCATCTGTGACCATAACGTAGTAGTGGACGGCGTGGTAGTTGTAGTAGTGCTAGTGCTTGTTGTTGTAGTCGGGATAGTAGTAATTCTCTCGGTCGTAGTGGTAGTGGTGGTGGTGCTGGTGGTCGATGGTGTGAATGTGGTCAAGAGAGTGGATAAAGTTGTCGCCGTGGTCGTCAGATTAGGCAACGCGAAAGTAGTGGTCGACGGCGTTGTCGACGGGGTCGTCCAAGTAGTGGTCGAGGTGGATGTTGGAGACGGCGAAGTGAATGCGTCCGCGATTGATCTAGCTGTCGTTGTCATTACGCGACCCAGAGCAGTGCCGACTGTCACAACCGTACTGGTGACGGTCGGCGTGACGGTCGTTGACCTCATAAGAGGAGCCTCTCGCAATTGCGCCATGTCGCGTGGTTCGGTTCCCAATATGGCCCCTGCGTTTCGCATCGAGTGCAGTTTAATGCTCTCTGCAAATGTCAACACATCAGCGTATAATCGGCAGTACTTGAACTTGACGTACCACTGCTCCAAACCTCCGTTTAAAACGATGGTACTGATTAACTCTGTAGATCGCTTACCGAGAATTCCCGCCTGAAACTGGCCTAGTTTTTTGTGATACTGAGTGATCTCCTTGAGACTCTCCAGAACCAGCGTGCGTATCCATACGCAAAGATTTGTTGCGACCACGTGCATCAGACCAAAGCGAGCGATGACTTTAAAGCGATGAATATTCAACTGCGAAGAGAATATCATAATGTGCATTCTTTAAGTTCTTTTGTCTTTATCAATTTGTTTTACAATTTCAAATACGTACTCGAGAGTTCATGAAGATAAAATACATCTGCATAAAGGTGAAGATCATTTGCAACACCGGATTAACACCTTGTAGAATTTGATAACAGGGTGATGTAGGTGGCACCTCGAAGAACGCACCAAATTCCAAACCGTTGTATACCATAGTACCAAGTCCAAACGCTAATAAATTACATTTAATCAATTTATTGATATTATTTGCATCAATTATTTAATTGCAAAAATTGTTATAAAAATAATTGTTCAATGTCATCAAAAATTATGGATTTACCTATTGCACCAATTCTGAGGAAGAAGCTTCCATGGCTATGATCATTTTGCGAAGTCTTTCGTTTTCGCAAGACTCGCGTAGCAACGCCAGCTTCAACATCGGTTGTATCCTAAAAAAATGATGCCAATAAGATAATTTAAATATATCACTTCAAAAAACATTATCTTAGAAATTTAATTGATTTTACATTAGAAAATTAAATATGAAAATTAAAAATTAAAGTTAAATTGCTAGTCGAGTTAACTCGTAATATTACTGCGATAGTTTAGTAAAATTAGTGTTTCAAGACCGAAAAATTTCGACGCGCGTTTCTGGGAACTACATACGTAGTATATAAATTCACATAAGAATCATACAAGCATTAAGATCCAGCTAGACCGTTTAAGGCTTTAATTTCTATATTTAATTTGTATTATTAGCTATATGTATTTTTCTGTATAATATGTTTTTATATTAAATTTAAATCTTCATGGAAGATTAGAGATTCCATGTGAAAAGCTAATATTTTTAGAACCTGAGTAGTCACTTCTTTTTTCTTTTTATCCTGCTTCTGATCCTTTTCTTTCTTATCCTTCTTCTTGTTCTTGTCCTTAGGTTCCTTAGGGGCCCAGCCAGTTTTGGGTGGTCTTGGAGGCGGTGGTGGCGTATCGCTTCCTCTCGCGCAACAAGCGCTCTCTTGAAGGAGGAAGCAGAAGACGTACAACAGGAACAGGATACTCATGCCATAAAGGTATGTGAAGAATCCCTCGTAATAGTACAATGGCAGTTTGTGCGTCACTACTTCGCTTATCACGTAAGCAATGCATACAACTACGAGTAGCTTTGAATAGATGAAGCTCATGATGATGAAGAGCGACGTTCTGAAATCAGAAACGATATGAGCGTAATAATACGAAATATGACACCTGACAGATGATAGTCAATCTATATTGCAAGAATCAGTTACATCGATAGATAAAAACTTCATCAGATTATTTTGTCGTATTAAATATATCATGTTCGAATAATGGTCTTACCCTTTTCTTTTAACAATTTGCACTCTGCTACCCCGTCGTGGCAGGGTGTCCTTTCTGCCTACGTTTTTATCGACAAAAGGTACAACTTCGACTTCCATGATGAAGTTTATAAAAAAAATTCTAAGATAATTTTCAAAATTAAAAATATTCTTCTTTTTTAAATGAACGCTTTTGTAGTTAAGCTCACACAAAATCTTTTAATTATTGCACAATCATTGTTTAAATAAATATTTTGTATTAATTGGTATTGTTTTTAACTAATTAATTGTTATTAATTTAATTATTATTAGCTATTTATTATCGCTGTTTTACACACCATTTGTATCATGCCCTACTTTGATAAATAACGAACGTCGATTATTGTACTCGTTGATTATGCAAGTCGATTCGCACGAATGTCCTATTTCTTTTCGTCTTTCAAACATAATGACATTCGGGCTCATTGAATTTTCATTGTTTTTATCAAATATAACCACCGTGTCCCGGATATTTAACCTATATGCGTATTATAGCTTATTTTTTGATAATCAGAAAGGTAACAAAATTGTCAATCGAGCAATCGAACAACCGAGCAATCAATTAACTATCATGACTATTTATTTATCTATTGGCAATCAAATTTTTTTAAAATTACACAATCTTGGTAAAGAATATATTGACACAAGCTTATTCGGCGATACACCGTTCACTATTCATTAATCGAAAATAATACAATTAAATTGACATTTGTGGAGCACGGAATCTGAACACTCAATGGTATTTTAAAAATTAATATAATAGTTTTGTTAACTTCGATCAAGCACTGTTTGATCTTGGTACGAACTTGATTCGAGTGGCACGATTAATCGAAACGCAGCAAAGCGGTCGATCTTCAATAACAGTTGACCTGGTGCATTCGCTTTTAATCGACGAGCATGACTGCCGCTCGAATATCTCGGACGTACTTATCCGCGCTTCTCATCCTCGTTACGCTCTTTTTCTCACTCAAAGGTTAGGCGGCGCAATCGATAGTCTATATATAATGCCGGTCGCAAACTCGGTGCGATCTCACCGGGAATCAATCGCGCGGGAAATGAGGTTTTTCCACGGGAAAACGGGGCCGCGCAGCGCGCACGCAGGAGGGACCGCATCGCTCCGCTTTGCCTCGTTCCGCTCCACTCCGCTCCGCTTCGCTCCGCGCAATGCAATGACGCCCGCGCGCCGCGCAACGACACGTATGTATGCGATACGTCTACGTTGAGAAGGCTTAACCGCCCTTTGTCACCATGGCATTTCATGGGTTGGGGTGTAGACTTTATTGTGTCCCACACGAGCCTGTACACTCGCGTCAGGGATTTTTTTTTCCCCGGATGCACGTTAGAGCAGAGGCGGTGATATTTTCTGTCTTACGAGAGCGTGAATCGCAGTTTTTATTTAAAGCAGTCGCTTCAGTCATAATTTATTACATAAAGGGTAACAAGAAGTTATGGAGGGGAGGACATTCATGTGATCACTTGCTTCTAGCGACCGAGTTAGCGAAAATATAGCTCGTTGCTTTTTATTTTTTAACATTGCGTATTTTTATAATTAAATTCTAATAAGGGAATCTCGCGCAGTATCAAATTCTCATTTTAACCCTTGGCTACAGCAATGGATCATTTGAGTTTACAATGAAAATTTTTGGACAATTGTACAGTTTATACGATTAGTAATATGAGTTTTTAAATTGTAGATAAAAAAATCGCTATAAAACGGAGGTTTAATTGCACTCTTTAAACAAAATGCTTTAGAATTTATGTGTAATTTTCATAGCTATAATTGAAGGTTAATGAAATTTTGCAATACATAAATGGATTACATAAATAGAATTTTGAAAATATTTATTGATGCAGAAAAAAGATTTTTAAAATTGAAATCACCCTTTATAGGTAAAATAGTTTTCAGCTTTTTTTGTTATATTTAAAAAATTATTCAATATGAATGTTTTATGCAAAAAAAAATTTATAAAGAATGATTTTACCTTTTAAATTCATTTTTTCACATCATCTGATATTCTCTAAATTCATCTATTAACCTATGTGTATAAAATTTTATTAACTCTCCAGTCTAAGTTTTTTACAGTTTTAGACTTTCAAAAAATACAAAAAAGTTTCTTTTCAACATCTATGTTACATTACCGAATAAATATTATAATATAAGATATTTGAGAAAAAGAAACTGGACTTTATTTTGGAGAAAAATTTGAAAAATTTCGCTTGTGCCAAAAAAGACTCAGATTTCAGACGGAAGTCAGAATCTAATATTTCGCGAGTTTTTTCCTTGTAAATTAAAATTCTTTAAACAATTCTATTAAAAGAAAATTTATTACAAATCGATCAAAGCATTTAAATAATCATTTAGTTATTGTATGTCTAGTTCACGTCATTTATGTGTTACATCGATGTTTTAGTCGAGTAAGCACATTAATTACAGTGAGCGAATTTAGTTCCTCAATATTAATTAGATAAGGAATCGTGTAACTAACCATTCCTAATTGGATTGATCAGGTAGACTTCGCGGTTATTGTTCGCCACAACTAGGCTGGTAGATAGAATGCCTCAATGACAATAGATGAGTTTCTCGCCTTGGATACTATTCGATATCAAGGTCTATTCGCTTCATTAGCGAACTCTTGATATTGAATCATCGAATGCGTCATTTCCATAAGTTTAAAAAAATATTACATTGGGATGGCCATATTTTCTTAATATTGAAACAAAACGAGAGAGCTTATATCGATTCTTTGAATCTCGCATCTTAAGTCTTGTGACTACAGATTTTATGCAATTGAGGACAAGTTAGCTAATTACGCTCTCTCTAAAACTAAAGATGGCAGTAACATTGAAGAAAAGTGTCTCGTAATCTTTTTTGCTTTACGAGAAAGAAGTAGTGTTGCAGCCAGCCTTTTTCCAGTTGCGAACAAGGAGCGAACGAGAAAATGGAAACAGTGGATGCGAACGTGGAACGGTCCAGACTGACTGGTCGATATCTCGAAGTACCTACTTTCGGTGCCGGTGCTCCTCCCTGTTTCCTCGCCCTCTTATGGGCTTAACCTCACCTCACCTCAATCCCTTTCAAGGCTCTATCCTTTCTCAAATCCTTTCAGCATTTTACGGCATTACTTTCCGAGAATCACCGTTCGAGTATTTATTATATTGGGCGTGTTAGAAATCGTGAATTAAGTCAAGAATCAATTACGCCGCATATTGTATGTGATAGTATAAAATTATGGATTGAGAATTACATAAACGTTAGATAAATTAAACACAGAAAACCGGTATTTACATCTCCAATCGATAAATTCTTGTATCTGTCGCACAAAAGACTTTGTCTCTTCAAACATCTATTTCCGGCCTATTTACTTTGCTTGTCAACACAAGAGAAGCCAACTATAATAATTTTATGATTGGCGATATAATCGAGTTTCCTCTTTGATTACTATAGGGGCTGTTTTACCGATTGATTTCTTTTTGTATCGAGAGAACAATAGAATGTTCAACAATTGTAATAATTTAAATATATTTCTTAACTTGTGCGAATCAATCATATTTTAAATTCCGTACTCCATTATATATACACAGAAACCGTTCAACACTTTCGCATTACCATGAATTTCACGACACTACAATGTTGTTGTCAAAACACAATTTTGCAAAATTGTTACGTATCACTGCATCTCAATATAAATCGCGTCTGTATTTCACAACACAAATGGAAATTTCCATGTTAATTAAATTTAGGATGAATTGCGCTCGCGTGAGATTTGTGGCGGCACTGTTTTGTGGCGGGCGCAACGCGTAGACTGCCGGTGGCATCGGCTTGAGACCACGTTAATGCAATTGCAACTGCGGCTGTGTAATCCGAGATCCACCTATTGCTTCGTCGCGAAATGCATATGGCTACACTTGTCATCAAATCAATATTAGTTAATTGAAAAGTAGCGCGCGAACTGTCCGATTTATCCGCGGCTCTATATAGTTTTTGTGTCAACACGTCTCTCTTTCTCTCTATGAAACCTTTTACCCATACATACATATGCATATACACACACAAAACACATATTTCTTAGTAGACGTTTGTAGACATTTAAAACAGTACAGAAAGAACAGTTTTACTGAAGCATCTAAAAGTTTAGCTGGATACAGATCCAAAAGTAATTTTATTGGACTATCAAAATAATTATGTAGGACATTCAAATTGATTACAAGAATGTCAAAACTTTTTCCAGCACTGCTTATCATGCTCGAGTTTCTCACATAATTAATGTTACAGACCAACAAAATTATTTTCAATTTGTATCTATCTATGAATTTTTAAATATTTCAGTAAAACTAAAAGAACTTCGTTCTTTTCATATATGTACATACGAAAAAACACAATGCAACAGAAAATAATAAAGAACGCAATGCGTTTTAGATAAAATAATTTAGTTAATTTAATTAATTATATTTTTATAATTTATAGGATTTAAATCGTAAAAATAGAATTTTTTCTTTTAACTGAATATTTTAATCAATATTTTTCAGAAGAATAATTGCCATTTATTGGTTACATTGCCGTAGATAGATAGACGAATGATGCATATCCATGCTGCATACGGGTTAATGAACTACGTCGTAAATAGAAATGCAAACCAAACTAGACTCTATCTCGTTTCCTTTTCGGGACCTCTATTATTATACCTATTTTCTAGCAAGCCGGATGTTCTTTCCAAAAATAACATGACCAACACTTTTTGCTTCTACGAATAATAAGACTAATTCAAGCAAATTTAATATAAGTTATTTGAATATAAAAAAAAACAATAAAAATTTTATTGTAATACAATTGTCTCGAAAGATTATCTTACCGCACATATTTTATTTAAAGTATATTTACAATATTAAAATATCGTGCCATTTTGCGTAGACGATCAATCAATTTTCTTTATCGTGCATATTTTTATAGTTGATATTTATATCCTTCATTTCACTCTCTATTTTTATTTTATTCGCGTAGTATCGTTCATTTTGTGGATATTTAATTACAACTTGTTGTCTTTCACGCTTCTTTCGGATCAACATTTTTGTACAGACTGATATATTGATATTTCTCTATTTGTAAAGTTATGAAACTTTCATACGCACATAAGTAGCCGGAAATTCATATCGTATCGAAATAGTTGTTTTCGAAAATTGTAAATATCATATTTAAGCATTTATTAGAAACAACAGGAAATGTATTAATTTCTTTGCAAACATTAATTGCAATAATTATGTAATGATAAAAAAATTATGTATTTATTAATTTGAAATTACGCGAACGATTTTGTTGAAGAATTTAAAATTTTGCTGCATACAGATCTGAAAATAATTTTATTGGGCATCAAAATAATTGCATTAAAAACTAAAAAATGATGAATAATGCTGCAAAAAATTTTAATGTTAAAATTTTGATTCTAGTAATCAGTTTGAGTTTCTAACAAAATTTATTCGATAGTCCAACAAAATTATTTTCAAATCTGTCCAGTAAAATTGTAAATCTTTTAGCAAAATTATTTTTTTCATGTAGTAATTCTTAAATTTTGATATGTCGCTGTAAGGCGCGAAACAAAAATTTGGGTTTATGTTAGTTTTGAATAAATTGGCTTTTATTATACTTTGGTTGATTAGAATCAGTGTTGTACGTACTATAGTCACGCCAAACTGTAAGATTATAAATTCACAAGCACGTAATTAACATGTCGTTAAATAATTATGCTTCATTAGCATGCGCACAGCGACCGGACTAAATGACGTTTATACTTGACCTAGATTTCATTCTTCATAGAAAAACATTCAGAGTTCTCAATAATGCTCTAGAAAAATTATCAGAATCATAATTAGTGAACTGTAATGAATGATAAGAATAACCCATTCTTTCTAAAATAATTTTACTCAAAAAAAGAAAGAATATTGCTTCATTCAACATATTGGTGTATGAATGAAAATTTATATCTTTTACGCTAGAGGGAAGTGCTTTGCAATAATATCTTCTTCGCGCAAAATTATCCCGAAAGAAACGAATTGTGCAAAAACTGTTTCATCTACTATAGATACTTACTCTACTATAGATACTTAACATTACATTTGCACAACTTCGAAACAAATGAGCGCCCATTCTTAAGGATGTATTACACGTACTTTTTAATGAGATAAAAAAATTATGAAAATATTATTTTTCTATATTATGTTTAAACGTAATACAAAAAAATCTGGTTTTATGATTTAGAACATGAATCAAAAATTATTTCAATAAAAAAATAGATGTGTTTAAAAAAAATAATTAAAATAAAATGAAGAAATTTTCATTTAAACTATAAATTGTATTTTTAAATATAAATAATAAACTGTTTCATGTGTATATGACATTCATTTTTATACAGAAAATATAAATTTTCTGCAGAAACTATACACTTGATACATTCTTAAATAAAAAATCTTTTTATTTGCTCGTCTCAGCTACAGCGCCTTACTTTTTCGCCGGAGTAGACCGCACATTCTTCAGCTCCATTTCTTTGTTTGCGGCGTTGTTCTTCTCAGCGTTGTCCTGTGCATTCGGCGGTGAGTTTTGCGGATTGAGAGGCCTGGTGACCGGAAGTGTCGCCGTGTTGTCGCCTCCGGAGGCCGCCTCTACCTCTACGGTAGCGACCTTACAGTCGCCACCGCCCACCATCGTGGATTTCGTCTTGTCTCACAAGCTCCTGATGATCGTCAAAAGGTACTCAACGATCTTGTAACAAATCGATCTAATACCCCCTAGCGCGAGCTCAAGTGCCCCCTACGTGGTGGTCGTGTTTCAGAGCGCTGGTACCTATTGTGCGGCCATTTTGGTGCACGCCTCGGTATTAATCGAGTTCAATTAAACTGTTGTATTAACTAATTGACTATCGCGAATTATCTTTACAATTTTGAACAATCCAAGTTAACTAAATCTCTTTAAATCTTCTCTTTCCTAGAAGCGCCTGCGCTTTGGTTTTTTCTCTCATTAAGGCTCTTTTTGCTGAAGCGCAGAAATGAAGCACACCCTTTCTCGTGAGATATTAGAGTACTACGTAATATGATCGGTAATATATTGAGTATGATACATGTGTGAAATATAACATAAAATGTATATATAAAATATATTTGATATTTCTACATTTTATATTTATTTATGACAATAAAATCTTGAAGATATGTCGTTCAATTCTTCTCCATTCTACAAAAGCGGGAAGGAGGGAAAAGGCTCTGTAACGTTACAGTTTGTAAATCGTCGGCAGAATTGCCTATGCAGAATTGAATTGCATGAGAACAGGAAGCTGAGACTTAAAGGTTCGAATTGGAAAGAATGTGTGAGCAATACCAAGAAGCAGTTGAATGGCGGAGAGAGATAGAACAAAAACAAGAGAAAGAAAGAGAGAAAGCGAGAGAGAGAGAGAGAGAGAGAGAGAGAGAGAGAGACAGAGAGAGAAAGGAAGTAGAGATCCCCAAGACCTAATACGTAGGTCTCTGATCCCGCGTACTTGGTTGAACGAGCTAATGGAAAATTCTGTGCACACACGAGCGCGGCTGAATCTCCCAGGGTCCTAGTGCACTGTACGCTCCGCTGACCGACAACGACCACCACTTTGAGCGTCGCGACGCACCCGCGACGACAGATGACGGGAGAGACTCACCTGCCAGAGGCGGTTGGCTGAAGGCTCTCGCGGTGACTGCGCCCCGGCTTCAGAAAAGGGTGTGAAGCGTGGACGCGGAGAAGGGACGGAGGGCGGATTGGGATCCCCGGAGAGAAAAAGAGGGAGACAGGAGATAGACGGACGGATGCGGCAACGGCGGCGCCAACAGAGGGTGGACCTGTTTCAAGGGAGACAACGAGGCCCGGGCTCCTCTACTCGCGCGCGCCGAGCCGAGCGAGATGAACGGAGGCAAGAGACGAGGGCTAATTCGAGAGTGGTCGCCGAGAAACGAACGGGACCGCGCTGCAATCAGTCGGGCTGTGTTATCGGAGCGCTACGAGAATGGGGGTAGAATCACGATCGCCGCCCCCAGCATCCCGGAGACTGAGGCTGGCCGGGAGGTCTCTTCCCGGGCAACGGCAGCTTCTCGCACAAGCGCAATACGAACGCGAGAGCTTTTGGTCTATATAGAGCCGCGGGGGTGCTCTTCTCTCTCTTTCTCTCTCTCTCTCTCTCTCTCTCTTTCTCTCTCTCTCTCTCTCTCTCTCTCTCGCTCTCTTTGTGGCTGTCCTCCGTTTCCCTCCTCAGGGGAGATGTCCCCCATCTTCTCGTGTTAGCTTATACGTTTTCCACCTCGACATAGTCCTACGTCTTTACGTTTTTGTGAATTTTTCCTTCGTGTTGTCGACTACTTCTTGAAATCCCTCTTTACGTAAACGTGCTTTGGAAAAACTCGCGATAAAGAAATCGCGAATGTTCAACGGTGCACCATTCCATTCTTTCCACAAAGAAAAAATAGAACTATCTCATCTGGGGGGGCAAATTTGTAGAGAGCATTTCTCATTCTAGTATATTTTCCTGCAAAACAGCAGTGATATTAATCGCGTTACTGTACTTTTATTATTAACTAATTTTCATGTATAAAATGAAACTATTCCATTTCTCTGATTACTTTAGTGAGCTAATTTCATTTGTATAGGTAAACTAGTAAACTGGTTTAATATATTTTCGCGTGTTCTCATTCTAAACCTAATCTCTAATTGTCCTTTACAATATTTTTCTTCATTTGGAATATCTCTCTTTTTCAAGTTTCAAGAAAAAGTTTCATGAATTTTTCTTGTATAAACTCGTTTCTTTCTTGATATTTTTTATTCAAAAGATTCAGAAACTGTGATGACCTTTTAAATCAATTATTTACAATATTTACACATGATTCACATGAATCATTTATATCGCATATAATATGATTGCTTCTTCATAGATATTTTCTGTATCCATATTTAATATATAAGTACATATCTCTAGATTTAAAATTGCAGAAATACTTGAATTTGCAGCTTTCATTAACTTTAGTAATGTTACCGCCGATTATCAGAGGATGCGATATCAAAGACAGATATTTTCTTGTTTTCTGGCATCGAAGCTTATTGTGCATCTCCGTGATTTCTGTCGACAGGAGCTACTCATGCAGGAAGGAGTTCTCTTTGTCCCAGAGAATTCGCAGCTGTTGTGCTATGAATTTTTCCACAGCTACGTCTCGTCGTTCTTTTCTCAATTCATCTTCATCGACAAGCCCATCATTTGAGAGATGCGAGAAGTTTGAGTGGCACCTCATTATTTGCGTGAAATAGGTGTCAAATCAATTTTTAACGCGCTTTAATTTAAATGCATCGGAAATTGTTCAAAAAATTGTCCATTGATTTTGATAGAATACATTTAATTGAAAATACTTTCGCAAAGTTTGCTTACAATTAAAAAGAATGTAAATCAAAAATAGAATTAGAACTAAATATGCATTTGAAATCTCGACTTTGCAAAAATTCGTCTTTTACCTGGACGGAATTTTTTAACAGCGGATAATAGTTTCTCTTTCAAATGAATATGCTTTGGCGCAACTAAAAACACTACTGCACTTGACAGATGTATACTCCATGTATACTCTTTGTGTAATATTTTTGCATCATCTGAATAAAAAAGTCTCATCATAAAATTGTCTCTTTTGGAGATAATTTTAGAACCTATAATGACGAGACTCTTTTTTTATTCGGATGATGCAAAAATGTTACACAAAGAGTATACATGGAGTATATATCTGTGTCAAGTGCAGTGTTTTTAGTTGCGCCAAAGCATATTCATTTGAAAGAGAAACTATTATTCGCTGCTAGAAAATTCCGTCCAGGTAAAAGACGAATTTTTGCAAAGTCGAGATTTCAAGCGCGTATTTGATTCAGCCATCGCCAACCGCTCTTCCAGGAAGATGTTGGGGGGCGGGGATAGTGGGTGGCCAGCGTGAGATAGTTGTATGCGGGGGAAGGTGGGTTACACGGTGGATGGTGACGGAGGGGGAGGGAAAATGCTCCGTGGTTCTGCGACCCACTGACCCGCTCGATAACGCTTCCACCGGGGTCGCTGACCTTCCTCACGCGCGAAATTCGCGTTGGTACGACCCTCTTGGCATTGCCGCGTTTCTCGGTTCGAGTCAAAGATCATTCCGGTCGCGCGAGGAGAGTCTCGATCGCGGGTGCATCTCGGTACATACCGTGGTACCGATTGTTGTAGCCGATCGATGACGGTGAACGGAAGTGCGCAAGCTGACGAAAACAGAGCTTGACCAATTGTCAATCTGGAATGCTGGAATTGCTTTTCGATTGGCCGATTCGGCACTCGAGGATTTGGCGGAATTTATTGCGCGGCAGTGTATACACGTTAAGCGGAGACGAGAAACTGCGATGATTGGAAAAAGCGCTGCTTGCCGAAGAACAAAAATCGTGTCGGCTTTTGACGAGCAAATTTTGCAGCAAATGAATAAGAGTATTGAAACAAAATTCGTAAATGCGCAACGTATATATTTTACTTGCAACGTATTGATGTTAATCCTTCAATATACTATATTATGTCATTTTGTCACGAGTGCAACACACTGTGTATGTCATACTCAACCTATACAATACGAATTAAGTACTTACAAATTTTTTAACACAATTCATTTTATCGTTCATAGTTTGGACATTCATGGACCATTCATGAATTTTCAATGAATTTTATTTTAGAAATCTTATTCCGCATTAAATCTATTGAATGACTTTAATTATTTATGATTTTCATAAAAATGAACAATATTGTAAATATTTTTTCAATCAAAATGCCAGACATTAAGGAATAGTAGTATTAAACAAATATATGTATTTTTATTAGTAAAAAAAAATTTTATTTTAAACAGAAAAAATTTTGAAAAATTTTTTGAAAAAAATCAAAAGTCGGATACCATACTGAGTGACATTGAAGGATTAAGGCAATCAGTCGGATTATCTGATTTTTATCGATGATTCAAGATTTGAAGTATGTTGTTATTCTTGAGTTACATTCTACTAGTTGACAGGAGTCGATTTAAAAGAATATCATTTCCACTTTCAATAACGAATAATATCTAATGTTATTTAGTGACTACATAAATCAGGTAATGATTTATACTCTCAATCTTAGGCTTCACGATGTTACAATCTTTTTCATATAGATTTTCAAGGAAGAGAAAGTAGAGAACGACGAGGCACGATAATTGCATTAATCAGTAAAGATACCATTTAATTTATCGTGGTTTAAAGGCATACAAATGTAATAAGACCTGCAGCTTTCTCTTTTCGCTTTTAAATATAAGAATTATCATAAAGTTTTAGCTTTTAACATGTGTCCTCATTGCAGTTTCCACATTTATCTCATCTGTGCTATTTGATACTTTTGTTCCACGGGTTATTACTTTGATTCTTTTATCTTTTATATGCGCATCATTAAAGGTGACGAGAGCGTAAAAGTGTTAAACGAGAAATTAAGAATCGCGTGGTAACCCGGTTTGTGCAATTGAATCAGGCGCAACAGCTCTGTCGTAGTATTTTTCTGCGTGCTGTAATATCGCGTTTCAAGGATTGCGACAAGTGAGACACTCACGCACAGCATATAGCAGTATTGATTTCGAGACTCGTTGGCAGTGCTGCCACGATTCCGCGTCTCTGGAACTAAATTCTGAATGAGAGATATCGCAAAAACAATGATGTGCCAAAATTTAACTTGGAATGGAAGATTTCTTTCCTGTTCCAGGAAAGAGCCTTGCGCAGTAATTTCTTCTTGATAATAATTTCCTCTCAATTATCTCTACAAATTCTTTTACAATCAAGTTTTAGCTCTTATACTCAAGGAAAACTGCGAAATATATATATTTGCAAGTTTTTTCCCCAATAAAACTTTAAACAATTCACACATCTTCTCAATTTCTACATCTGAATTCATCTGATGTGAATTTATTATTACCATCTATGAATTTTTAGTGAATTTTATTTTGTGCATCTTATTCTGCATTAATTAATTTTTAATCTATCAGATGAATGTTGATCCAATTTATCTACATTTCGCCGCCCGAAAGAGCTCTCAAAATTGATATTTCTCTTTAAAAGCATATTAATGCACCATTAAGCCGACTAGCTATAAATTGCTGCATCAGTTATTACATTCGTTGATTTCTATTACAGAATCAATATGTTATTAACTTATCGTTCCTTGTAAATGAAACGAAAGTGATCGCGTTTATTTGGCTAACTAAGTAATTTACAACCCCTACAAAATATATGAAACTACGTTTGAAATATCCACACAAAGATATTTATATCCTGCGTTTTACATCAGCTTCGTTTTACTCTCAGATTTTATGAGAATTTTTTATAGATGATTATTAAGCAATTAATGACCTTTCTAATTATATGATAAATCGATATATTCCGGCTAAATATATAAGCTTGAAATACACAAATATACTGGCTCTATTTATATAAGTCACTTGCTTGCTAAAACACCGAGCGAACGGTCTGTATCGGAGATCGTAAAACCACCATGAAGTAACCGCCTTGAAGTAAGTATCTCAAAGCTATTTTAAGTCGCTCGAAGGCTTCCAGAGACTCTTTAGTGATAAGCAATGCACTTGAGATATCGGTGTTCCATATGGTGTGATGATTTTCGGTTAAACGAATGATCCGGATGTTTATGTTTATCTCTTAAGTTGATAAAATGCAGAACGGATTTTATCATACATATATATCAAATATTTTCGAAAGAAAATTATATATTAGAAATCTAATGTAATACTAATACTGGCATCTAATACTGGCATTTAATACTGAAAGACAGTGATCAATTGTTAAAGTTCTGAAAGTATTTAATTACTTAACTTAAAGCAACAGTGCTTTTAATATTTACTCAAAATGAATAATTAATTACTAAGCTCAGTATTATATTTTTGTAAGAATATCCTCTCCATTACATCATAATATATTCCGTCATACATATTGTTCATTATACCAATTATGAAATTAAAAAAGTGTCTTCCATCAAGTTAAATACTTGAAGACATTTTGTAAAAATCTTAAATATTATTTCGTACAAAATAAAGATGTTAATATATATCTTACAATCAAGGGTCTTACGAACTTGTATTTGTCAGAATGTACTTACTTCGCATTCTTTGGTAGCATGCCATTAGCTGGACCGGAATACGTAGGAGTGAGGCAGAGGGGTGGATTATTCGAATTCTGTGGAACTAGAGGTTGCCTTGCGTGCGCTGGCGACGTGTGTGAGCCATAGCCATCGGAATTGAGCTAAAATCACCATAGAGTAAATTTAAATATTTCTAATAAACTTCTATCAAAATTATTATGTACTTAATGAAATTATGTTATGAATATAATTACACTTTATATCATTACAATCTAATTTTAATTTGTGAGTACAGATGTTCAAAAACCAATACAATTTTTTTTCAGCATAGATTTTTTAGTTAGTTGAGTATTTGCCAATATTGAGATATATTTAAATTATATCCCAATATTTTTATTAGGAAAAGACTATTTTTGAATATTAATCAAAAAAGTTCTGATTAAACAGATGTACGGATTATGCATTGAAAGAAAAGTGTTTGATATTGTAACTATAATTATATCGTAAAATAATTAGTTAAGAGTTTCATTTTTATATAATTATTACTGCTATAATGTTAGTAGTAATAATCTAATAATTATATTGATAGTTTTATTCAAAAAATATATAATAGTTGACCGACAGTGATTATAAATTATATTCATGTTATGGTAATAATCATTTTTTTCTCAATGTGGGACATTCTATGTATATGTATATAATTTATTGAAACGTAAAAGCTTGTCTTCACTAAAACCAATCGGTATACTTTTCTTCTTCTTTCTTATAAAAAAAAAAAAAGAAATCAATATGTCAATCGACTTCAGTGGAAACTACACTTTATACTTGATTATTTACCTTGACAACGGTACCAATCAAAGAATCAGGTGGCATTTCTGGAGGTTCAGGTATCACACCTGGATTTGTATGCGCCGGATAATCGTTGTGTAGATTAACCTCCTTAACAGGAGTACCACCGTCAAGTCGTTCCATGTCCAGGCTATCAGTTGGTGTCGGCTGCGAGAGCAAACGCTCTTTCATCTCATGTAAGTATGGACACCGTTGCATCTCTTCAGACTCTTCTGTTTTGTCTCTTTGACGATCTGCGGAAGAGTAAAATTACATCAGAAATACATGCGAAAAAATTATTTATCAAATATTTAATATATTTAATATATTTAAATATAGAATATTTAATACATTTAAATATAGAATAACCCATCGCAAAATCACTCAAATTTTACAAAAGAAATTAAATTTTTATATTTTTTGCACTTTTTGTTATGAAAAATAACTTTATTGATTATTTCATTTCTTCTCATAAATTTTAGAGAAAATATATTAAATTTCCAATTTTTATGGCTGACCGTATATATAAGTCCTGAATGAAACTTACGGGAGACATGTTATTGATCGTAAAAAATTTAAATAAACATGATTTAATAAAAAAAAGTGCAGCATAGTGCCAGCAATTTTATTTATATAAATAGAAATTAAATCTTGTTTCACATTTCAATTTATACAATATGAATGACATACTTGGAAGTTTTTTATATAATAAACCTGAATTTACAACAATTCATTTTATCTCCGTAATTTCAATTTTACCATCCATAAATTTTCAGTAAAATTTTGTGCATCTTATTTTGCATTAATTTTTAATTTGTCAGATGAATTTGATTGCTTATAACTTATATAAAAATGAACATTCTGTAACTAATTTTCCTTTAATCAAAATGGCAAATAGGAACAATATCAAAGAAATATCAAAGAAATGCATGTATCTTTAATAATAAAAAAGTTATAAACAATAAAGTAAATAGAAGTTTTGAAAGACTATTTAAAAAGAAAAGTCTAGTATACCATATTGACAGTGACATCAAAAGATCAAGACAATTGAATTCGCTGGATTTGTTGGACGTTTCTTTGATTTTATTGAAGCATACGCGCGATCCTTTGAATCTTTAACTTTCAACTATCAGAAGAAATAAAACTTTCGTAAATCGTTCTGATTTACGAAAGCTTTGAAAAATAACTTTTTATTTTCGAAACAGATAATCTATTTCGGAAGTGCTCAAATTTCAATTGAATTTATTCTAAAGCTTAGAGAATACAAATTTCATATTATAAAAGCTCATGCGTATTATCGTTATTTTTGTTACATATCATTAATCGCTTTAGACTTTGATATAATTTTATCGAAATAGCGATATGATCGAATGAAACATGAAACACTCGTTGATATACGTTACGTCAACGATCATTATAAGTCAGATAAGTAACTTTTTTTAAGAGAGCTGAATGACGTTTATCCTTTAATCAAGAAATTTCACATTTATTTATTTCTGTAATGTTATTATTTTCGTGGTATATTAAGTTAGTATTATCGTGACATTCTTTCTTCATTAACATATACAAATGTAATGATTTACATATAGTATTTTACAAATGTAAAATACTATATCATTTAAATTCACGCTTGAAAGATTTTGAAGCCTACACATATTATCTTATTGATTTATTTCACCGAACCTTTTCACTAAACTTACTTAAAGCCACGGTACCCATAATGCACACTTTAATATGTGTGGTTATTAGATCTTTAAGAAAAAAGATCCTCGAAGGAGAACTTGCTTTTGACCAAGAACTCGATGAAAAAGAGTATGCAATGTTGAGCAGAAGTCAACAACGATAATGCAAACGCGATCAGATTGGTACTGTCTCAGAAGGAAGCTCCAGCCGTTAACTCGCTTCTTAGCTCTCTCTCCATAGTAGAGTTCGCCAAACATGGAGCTGCGATTGGCGCGCTAGAGTGCTCGCCTGGTCACGTGCATACATCTTTCCACGTGGATGCTCACCGAAGAACTGGATGAGCGAGATAGAAAACTAACAACCATCTCAAAGAGATATTTTTGTAGATTTACAATACTTATGTAATAGACTGCGTATTTATATGCAACAGCTGAAGGCACTGTTCAGAAGAATGTCATAGGTCTATGTGCGTGACAGAGAGAATACATAAACAATGATGAACAGACCATACAAATGTTCTTCTAATGTTTAAAATAATGAATAGTCTATTACATAAATTCATGACTTGAAGAGCTCGTGACATCTAACACGATCCTGTTAGATTTTAAGTTCTGCAAAAATGATTCATTCGCATAGCCATTTGAATTTGAACTTACGAATCCGAGCTCAACGCACTGTACACACTCTGTATACATTTACAATTTATGTCTCATTTATATACCTTAAAATATATTGGAAGTATCAGTCAAACTGAATACCATAGCAAAAGTGTCCTCAACATCGGATCTTGTTCATTTGAAATCTGTCTATGCGCTTGCGCTAGATAATAATCGCATATATTTACTTAATTTTATGCGATACATATCTTTATAATATAGAATTTCAAAAGTGTCAGATTTGTATAGACGCACATCACACTAAACAAATAAACAAATACAGGGTTTTCCAAAAACATGGACGAATGAACGAATAAGAAAATGGTGAAATATACCGATATTTTAAAAAGTTATCTTTTAGTATGAACGCTGAAAAACCATCATTTTCAGGTGCATAAAAGCGGGAGGAGTGATGAAAATTTTAAATGGCACTAGAGGTCAAGTGAGAGTTTATTTACAAGGCCTTTTTATGACGATAAAAACCCTGATAATTTTAAATCGCACGAATGACCCCATTTAAAACGACGATCACAAAAAGTGAAAATTTCATGCAATGGCATTACCCAAAATCATTATCCCTTTCGCATCTGAGAATGATGGTTGATCAGCACTTATGCCAAAAGTAATTTTTTTAAATATCGGAATTCATCGATTTTTGATATTTTCGTTTTTACAAAAATTATATCATGGACTTTCCAAACTTTTGAGAAACCCTGTATGTTAAATTGGAGACAGCGCTAACACATAAACGCGTTACTAATTAAATTTTCTATCCACGTAATTTTTTTATAATCACTGATCTATTTTAATTTTTATTAATTTATGAAGTTAAACGTTTATTCGATTTTTATAAAATTATTATTTATGCAAAATTGCATTAATCTCAGTATTGAATCATTAGCGGATATTATTGACTCACTTTGAATTAATTTATTTAAATTAAACATGTTTGTACATTTAAAGTGAAACATGAAGGAAATATGTCACTTTGTTGCGGCATATACTTTGTATAGCATTGGAAGGGCGGTGGGTGTTTGGGAACGGTTACTGACCTATCTCCTCTCACGTTACAGTCTATCTTTGTGAGAACAAGGCAACTACGTAAAATAGTGCGGTAGTAATAGAGAGACGTGATATCTTATGATACGTGTCTGATATTGGGGAGAGGAAATTTTAATTTTAACAATTATCTAATAAAAAATTAAATATATTAACTGTATTTTCATTTATTTATTTAGAAAATAATTTTTATATTTTCAAGATTATTTTTCAGATTCGTCGAATTTACAGAATTATAGTATCCATATTCGGAATATCTAAATTTTACCTCATGTTACGTTTGAATAATCGAATCACCAGATGTTGATAATTAATATCCATCAGTTACAAGCCGGACTTTACGTTATGTCTAGCTCAAGTGACAGCGTGTAATTGACGATACGTGCGGAACAAGTCCAAGGCTCGAGAATTCGATAACTGACCTAACTGAATGCACATTCAGGTGACGTCGCGACATCACGATGTCTACTGCAGCTTATTTCGTCGTGCAAGCTCTTTTCTCCCTCTCTTACTATTTTTAGTCATCGTCAACTACACACACACACACACACACACACACACACACACACACACACACACACACGGGCATATATATATATACAAACATATATATCTAGAAATATCTGCACTTCGCCAAGAACAACAATTTTAATTACGAATATCCATTCGCGACTCAATCTTGTCTTCATTTTTCTTTCATTCCTTTCTCTCTCCAAAGCGCGAATTTCTTTTTTCTTTCCGCGTGTACAAACATGCACATCGACCAACGCGAAATTATTTCTGCCGTCTACTTCGAATCTACTTTGCCACAACGAGGTTTCTAGGCGACTTTCGCGTGAGAGGACCGATTCTGAAGATTCAGCACTGACAGCGAGCAGTGCGGTTGAACGATCAATCACAGAAATACGCGGGATAATGAATTTAAGAATACCTCAAGGGCAATTCTCAGATTATTGCTGAAACTTATAGTCCAGCATGGATGATTTCAAGGCGATTACGTGTTCACTAACAAAATTTGTTCAATTGTTAAAATCGTTATTAAATCATCAATCAAAATTATAACTTTCATTTTTCGTACGTAATTTATATAAATTATAAATTGTAAATATATTTAGATGACAAATAACAAATTTAAAATAATGGCCGCGTTTAGCAGAATGTTTATTTTGCAACTGTTGGAAATTTCCTTCGTGCTGATTGGATTATACTTTTAGATCTAGAGAAGAATAATCTCAGCGAAGAAAATTTCCAACAGTTGCAAAATATATATATTCTGTTCACGCCGATGTTTCAAGCGATACGCGATTTTTCCGAACGCATCCGCCTTTTGATTTGACGAATTTTATCACTGATGCAGTTCGCTCACTGTGATTTAATAGGATTTGAATTTTTTTACGTCACGTCACGTCACATGCAGTGATAATTGACTGAAATCAGACTAGGGTAAAAGCCTTCCTATTGATATAGTGCGGAAGAAAGCTTTTCGATCAATCATTCAAAGAGACACGCGAAATTGAAAGTCCTTTCAGAATTTTTTTATCTCTAACAATCAACATTTCTATCTAAAGAATTTTCAGTATATATTATATATTTAATATACTTAAGAACACGAAATTTCATTATGTGCATATAAAAATATGAAATGTAGCAATGCAATATTACAATGTTGTGCTACAAAATTCGCATATGATTGCATAACTCCAGACAATAATTTCGCTTTATTTCCGCATCCACGTTCGATAAAATCTAAACATGTAGAAGTTTCCTGTAGGTTGAATCTAAGGAAAGCGACCTATTTCATACAAAGGAGGTACCGAAGAATATCGGAGTTCGGAAATAAGGTCCCAAACTTGAAGCTTCTGATATCAAGATGTCGAGCGTTTGAACTGATACGTAGCGTCGAGCCTGGTCTTTGAGTTTTGTAACGAAGTAATAAGTTTGAAAGTCTAAGTTTCTGCCAGTTGATTACTTTATCCTTGTGCCTTCTGGTGCAAGGACGGTCGTTAATAAATTGCAAATCACTTTAAGGTGATCCCCTTTCGCTTCGCCAGGGATTAAACAAAATCACTCAGTAGTCACAGCTAACTTTTAGCTACTCGTAGGTGCACTTGATTCAAAATTAAAAGTTGATATTTTTACGAATATAAGAGTGCAGAAGTTACTTTAGAAGATCCATCACATGTCGGAGAGATTCAATGAATAAAGTTACGAGAATAATGTAAGTACGATTACTATGAAGCTTTAGAAACAAAAAATTAAAGTCGATCGATAAATACTTGGACTCACAGATCTTCCTATTATTAAATATAAAAATAGTATATCGAACATCATCATATATTAATTTTTTATAAATCAACTTCTAACATCAAAATCAATGTGATGGAAATGTATTAAATTAATTATAGTAATGAAGCATATTGACAAGTCTGACGTATAATATTCCAGCTCTCAGACAGTCAGATATAATTCACTGAATTATTAGTATATTTCGATTGAAGAAAATAATTTCAAGTCACGGTCGCTATTTATTATTAGTTAACCATTATTGCATCTTTATCCAATACTTTTTATAGAATAAATTTCTCTCAACATAACTTTTATATTATTTGCTCTTCTGAAACGGTGGGTTTCCTACTCAATATTCTTTATATTATACATCTGCTTTGAATTATTGTTATTAAAAGAAACTTAATATTCATCCACACACATTCTTTTTTCTATGATTTTTTTATGTCATTTCAGTTCCTTAAAATTAATAAAATTAGTGCCTTTTAGTCAACATAAATTAAATGGATCTCATAAATTAAATAGATTCAGCGTTAGTAACTGTGTCACAGATTTTAACATCAATTCAACAATCATAGGTTAATTGAATAATTATAAGAGTGACAAAAGACGATGGTCATTATCGTTGAGCAGTGTTGTGACAGCGCATTCATCTCACTATCATAATTACTCAAGATAGGTTTGATCACAAATTGGCTCACTATATCAGCAAAATTCTACCGGTGCATTCGGACGATGTCGACGCGCGTGGCCGGAAGTCAGCGAGCTTACATGCGGGGTAGCTCACGGATGGCGAAGATACTCGCGGCGACAGTGCGACTCTCGCGGGATGAGAGACAATCGAATCGCACACATGTACAAAGGTCGCGGGGGCGAGGTTATTGCTTTCGCCGGGGTGAACCGCGCGCGCGAGCGAGCGGGCGTCACAACAAACGGAAGCCGGAAGTAGCCGCGGATCGATTCACAGTCCCCGCTCGGTCGTGGACCTCGAAAAAGCCGGTAGCTCGCCGAGGCGCTACCGCGGTACAGCACGGCACCCGACACGAAACACGGTCAGACTGCGTGGCGACCACCTGTGAGCTTCGTATC